AACTATCCACCCCAGGGCGGGTGCAGCTCTCACACCCATAATTAAACTCTAAAAGCCTGCCCCATGGCCGCATGAGGCTTTGGGGGGACACTCAGACATAAACCATAACACCATTGTATAAAAAACCCACATTTTCTTTATCAATTCATGAGCTGATGAGCATTTGGGCTGTTTCCAAGATTTAGTTATTACAAACTGTCCCGCTATAAATGTGCATGTGCATATATTGGTGCAATTTGATGCTTTTAATTCTGTTGGGAAGAATGAGTCAAATGGAACCTCTGGTTTTGGTTTTTTGAGGAATCTCCACGCTGATTTCTACAGAGATGTACCACATCCAAAATCCCACCAACAGTAGAAAGCGGTTCCTTTTCCTCCACAGCCTCACCAGCATTTGTTAGTGGTTTATTTCTTGATAATAACCATTCTTTCTGGAGTAAGGTGGAATCTCAGTATTGTTTTAATTTGCATCTCTTGAACAGCCAGTGATGTTGAACACTTTTTCGTATATTTATTTGCTATTTCTACTTCTTCATCTGAAAGTGTTTATTCATTTCAGATGCTCATTTTTGGATTGGGTCTTTAAATTTGGGGGGGGTCTGATTTTTTGAGTTCTTTATATATTCTAGATATTAGCCTTTTGTCTGAGGAACAGCTAGTAAAATTTTTTAGGATTGTCTGTTCACTCTGTTGGTGATTTCTCTTGCTGTGCTTTTTGGTAAGATGAGATCCCCATTGTTGATTCTTTTTAATATTTCCTGTGTGATCAAGATTTTAGTTCATGAAGTCTTTGCCTCCTACACTGGTATCTTCAAGAGTTCTACCTATTCTGTCTCCCACAGATTGTTTCTGTTTTAATTTTAGATCTTTGATCCATTTTGATTTTACTTTAGTTTAGGGTGAAAGATATGGGTCTAGTTTTAATGGTTGGCATGTGGAAAGTGAGTTTTTCCAGCACCATTATTTATTTATTTATTTATTATTTATTTATTTATTTATTTACTTTTTGAGGCAGGTCTTGCTATGTAGTTCAGGTCAGCCTTAAACTCATTATGTAGTGCAGGCTGGCCCCGAACGCTTGGTAATCCTCCTGCCTTAGTCTTATGGGTGCGGGAATTACATGCTTATGCCAACACAACTGGCTCCAGCATCATTTATTAAAGAGGTCATGTTTCTTTCAGTGAAGGTGTTTGGCTCCTTTATCAAAGATAAGGTGGCTGAGTGTCTTTGGAGTTGTTTCTGCATCTTCTAATCTGTTCCACTGATCCTCAGGTCTTTTTGTTTTTGGCTTGTACCATGCTGTTTGTTTGTTTGTTTTGTTTGTTTTTTGGTAGTACCATGCTGTTTTTATCACATTAGTTCTGTAGTATAATTTCAAGTCAGGGATTGTGATGCCCCCTGCCTTGCCTTTGTTGCTCAGAATTGCTTTTGCTATTCTGGGTCTCTTCTGATCAGAATTGCTTTTAATCTGTATAACAATTTTGTATATATGTTGCCAAAATGAGCACATGTATAACAATTTTATATATCCTCCCCAAGAACAAGGGATATCTTTCCATTTACTGATATCCTATTCTATCTCCTTTTTTAGAGTACTCTAGTTTTTTTGTTTGTTTGTTTTTTCTCTGGTACCGGGAACCGAACTCACGACGTTGCGCTTGCCAGGCAGG